GTCTGCATAGAACAACAGAGGCAACCGACGATCATTAATGACAGGACATTCGTGTGCACGTGTGTTGAACCATTCGTCCATACCATCCCTCGCTTCAAGGTAGTCGGCAATAACCTCAATGAAGAACCCGAACAAATTGGGACTCATGGGACACCCCTGCTTCACGCCCTGCAGAGAGGCAAAGATGGACCCTAGGCGACCGTTAACCTTGACCCGTTGGAGAACACGTTCATAGCTGGCTTTAAGGGCCGCCAACATGGGTCCATGCACACCCCTCTCCTCAAGACGCTGCCACAGGCTTGCCCGGGGCACTCTATCAAAGGCTTTCTCAAAATCCACCTGACACGCATACAGGGCCTGATTGCTGCCGGGCCGCTCATAACGACTTTTAAGATGACGAACAACGAACAACTGATGAACTGTACTGCGCTTTTGACGGGACCCAGCCTGAAAACGGCACCGGACACCATCTTTATCCCCGAAAGCTGCCAGCTGCCTGTCGAGAACCGTGGCATAGCATTTGGCAATGGCGCATCCCACAGCTAGACCCCTGTAGTTGTCCTTGACCCTGGGGTCGCCTTTCTTAAACAACGGACTGAGAGACGCCACGCAAAACTGGTCAGGCACATCCCCTGTATCCCAAATGTGCTGGAAAAGGTCTCGAATCGCAGGGGCAATAACATTGACAGACACCCTGTGTCAACGGGCTGCAACGGGCTGCACGCGGGACAGCTCTTAGGTACCGTGCCGTACGTAAGTCGGTAAACCTTGCGAAAACAAACCCACTTTGCATTTTCGCGTGCAAAGAGGGTTGCGCTGCGACGTCCAGAGAACAACCTGCCTTGGGCCAGCGGGGCAGAAGTCCCGATTTAACGTTCACCAATACAGTAACGTGTCATTCGAGGGGGAGATGTCAACCTAACGACACCTTCCCAATGCTAGGTGCTTTTACAGGTTAAGCATAAATGGACTGCCAGCCCAAGCTTTTGGGGCGAGGCCCCGGCCGCGAAGCGCCTTTCGGGGGACCGGGTTCACCGGGTCAATCAGTCCGTCAGCGTCGTATCCCACATGCCACGCTGAACTGAGAATTGCATTTAAAAGCTACTGGAATTCTCAACCGATCCTCTAATTAAATAAATTCACATATATATCTCTGCGAATAAAATAGCTTTCCGCGGCCCATGGCTTAGCCCATGGCTTAGGCTCCCCCCGCCTCAAAACGCATCCCCAACTCACCATCGCGAATCCCATACCAACCACAACCATCAGCAATAATCATGCACGCCGCTCAGCTCTGCCACGCTCCGAACTTCAGCCCATCCATGCCAACTGCTCCAGCAAGACTGCCCCAGTTCTTACCAGGCTATCCATGTCTACATATTTCGATTTGAGATTACATACGTTGTAACATACGATGTAAAGAGGTAAATTCCAAAATTCCAAAAACAAGTTCTCAAACAGTTTTAGGATCCTTAACTTAGCCATCCATACGCGACTCGGCCAAGGAGTAGTCTTAATGAAGCGCTACATATAATTTGAAAACTATACAGCTTTGTGGTTGCAACTTGCTTGTTATGAAAACATGTTCGCGGAAAGTCACATGCGCGGAAAGTCACATCTTGGAAAAATCAACTCGGAAGAGAAACGTTTAACTTCTACGGATCAGCTGTTATGTATGCCGCTGCAAGCCTGGCGACAAACTGCTGGTCGAGGCAGTTGCTCCTCGCCAAGTGCCTTTATGGAGATCATTCGGATTACCCTTCCTTGTCACCAGTCGGTAACCCTAGTAGCTGTGTGGTCTATAATGTTACCGGTCGGTTACCGGGTCGTTATCTCAACATGTCGGCTACCGTATCGAAGCGATCGGTTGGGTTATAACTAACCTGTCGGTTACCGACCATTTTATGACATAGGGGATTGCATGCTGCGACACACGCTGCTTCTGCCCATGCTGCTTCGATTGCTGTGCGGCCGCGCGGTTTTCTTGCTCTTTCCTTGGACTTCCTAGGAATAGCTATGGCTCAGCTCCGCCACACCCCGCAACTCCAGCCCATCCACGCCAACTTCTCCAGCGCTTCCCTCCTTGCCTTCTGCTCCGTCTTAAGCACATCTCATACATGTCCTACTCTCCAGTTCGACTGGCAATGGGCTGGGTTTGTGCAACTCCCGGAGGCTAGATGCTCAGCCATTCTTGTTGACATGGAGGCGGCGCGCAATGCACCGTCCATGGATTTGCATTGGCGCCTTAGCACGTCTATACACCAGATTCATACATCCCTCCAACGCCGCCGGCCGCCGCACCCGGCCCTCGCAACTATCCATGATAATGAACATATATAATATAGTCCAAGCACGACACCGTTCCTCCACTTGCGCCCTAGTGCCGTACAGCCTCCCCTGCGGAATACTGCGGGGTGGCTGACTGCACCGGGGCCGAGCCCTTCCAGCTTCGAAGAAGCTAAGCATCCTAGTTGCATTCACATCAATGGAAGACGAAATAGAAATGTACTGGAAAAGATTGCCTCTGCGTGAGCCCTGTGCCCAGCAAGGGCGACAGAGCGTTAGGCAAGGCCAGGCGGTGGCCGGGGCTTCAGTTGAGGGCCGATAAACGCTGCCCTCATGCAGGAGCCTGCCGTATGTTTCGTTTTGAGTAGTGGGGCCCTTTGCATTTAGTTACAAAGGCGTCGACTCTTCGTGAAAGACCTCCTTCCTCGGGGTGATAGCTCACGGGAAGGATAGTGCGCGTCACTCACATACAGCCAAGTAAATTAAAGAGCGGGCTGCGTGGCGGGCTTCCCGAATTCATGCATTATGCATTCAGGCAAGGCGCACTTATGGCTGGTTGCAAAACAAATTGCGGGATGTGATCCTGTGTACGGCTTACAACTCACATAGTCGCAAGAAATCGCCCATGTTTACAGACAGCAGCGTGTTATGGACAACATAACAAACTAAGCATCAACGACGTCTTAACTAGCAACGCAATCCCGCAATGGAGCACATCTCCAGGAAACGGCTTAGATGTGATGGCGCTTTCCGTAACGGCGCGTTTACTATTTAACCAACTCAATAACCTAACGTATGACATCCTTTCAAGGTATGTGGCACACCGTACGCTTGCGTTCATTACCGCGCTTGAAATGGCGTTGCTCCTCCATGCTTACGCATCGAACAAGTTGCGACGGCCCCAACGGCGGAACGCCATCTTGTCTGTTTGTTAACAGCCTCGAACTGGGGATGCAACGGAGAACCACTGAAATTTCCGGATAGGAATTCTTGTTGTATTTATACGCGCCAATCTGTATCCTTAAGAAGCCAATACTTTACAGCCCAAAATCATCCCCTCGACCCCAAAACGTTACCACATACTTGTTGAACCTATATAAAGTTATAGCAAAAGCGTGCGCCGTTGGCCGATGGCCATTCCTGGGACACTGTCACCGCTGCCACCTTCTGCCGTACCGATGGCCATTCCTGGGACACCGTCACTGCTGCCACCTTCTGCCGTACCGATGGCCATCCCAGCTGGGACACTGTCACCGCTGCCACCTTCTGCCGTACCGATGGCCATTCCTGGGACACTGTCACCGCTGCCACCTGCTGCCGTACCGATAGGTGCTGCTTGGTTGCCGCCACGATGAGTTGGCTGATTTCCAGCTGACGAGGACTTTGCATCAGTTGGGTTGAGGCATGAGTTGAGGGTCACAGCCGGCCATCCTTCCAAGGCTTCTGGGGAATCTTCTTCAGGGCCTTGCAGAAATTTCTTGCAGGCTTTTTGCCCGCTTTGTTGCTGGTTAATCGCTTTGCGTGCTCTCTTCCTAGTTGGTGCCACTGTGACCTCTTTTCTCTTAAAAAACTTCGCGAGGGGATTGTCTATGTAAATCATTTGCAATTAAGGCTACATCAAACAAATGGGAATCTATGTGAAGCTATGTAAACCTTGTGGAAAGCATTTGTGGCTTTGCCTGCTTATAGGTGCACTATGAGTCCGCGGTACAGGACGCATTTGAACTGGAGGTATACGGCCTGGCATGAAAATTCATGTCTGCGACGTAAGGGTGGTATTTATGTAGAGCTCTCCTGGTTACAGATATGCACAGTCCCTGTTTTAAAAACTGTTTTTTATTCCCAAACTTTAGACATTCTTTACGGGGAGTTCGCAAGGTCCCCGTTTCTAAGAAAATCTGATGCCGGGAATGCCGGCATAGCTCTCCTTAGGCAAATGTTAGGCAATAGTTGCCGACATTATAGCACATGCTGGAACAGGATGCGACTGGAAGTAGCAGGAGAATGCAAGCGCATCATCAGGCAAATGCCCGTGATAGCCCAGGAGGGGGCACAGCTGTCCTGCCCCCCTTCCCCCGGCTTTTGTTGCATTCATGCACTGTCTCCAACCGGAAACTTGGATAATGTGAAGCATTGAAAGCAGGCAATGGGCGCTAAATGATGTGGCAGCATGCCGCGCCCCTTCTCTCCGGCCGCTTCTCTCCGGCCCCTTTTTTCCCCTTCGTGACGGCTTTTGAGGCAATCCATGCGCGCTACCTTCAGCAGAGACAAGTTTCATGCGAAGCTTCCGACATGCAACAGTCCACGATGTCTGGAAGCGGCGTCTGTCTCCCAAGGCTGATCTGCCGCCGGTGTGGTGAAGGTCACCGGCCGCGATGATGCCGCTGTACGGATCTGAGGGGCCCCCACACCGGCCATTCGACAGTGAAGCCTCCCGTTAGTGTACTACTTCAGCCTTCCAAAAATCGCACTTGGAAAGCTTGACACGTAACTGATTTTCCTCGAGGACCTTTAACACTACCATTATAAGGCGTGCGTGATCTTCTGGAGTCTTGGAAAACATCAGAATGTCATCCAAGTAAACCGTAACAAATCGATTCAGGTACGATGCCAAGATGCGGTTCATCAGAGTCTGGACGGCTGCAGGAGCATTCGATAGGCCAAAAGGCAATACAAGCTACTCGAAATATCCGAGGTGGATTGTGAACGCCGTCTTTGTAACATCTTCTGGAGTAATCCGCAACTGGTGGTAGCCAAAAACTAAATCAAGGGCCGTGAAAATCGATGCACCAGCTAGACGATCGAGAGTATCATCGATCCGGGGCAACGGGTATTAATTCTTGATGGTAATCTTGTTCAAAGCCCGGTAATCAATGCACATGCGTAATTCTCCGGTAAGAGGATAAGAGCGCCGAAAGGCGAAGTCGAAGGACGAATAAATTCTTTTGCAAGCAGATCTTTGACTTGCTTATCCACTCCTCTCGTTCTAGTGGCGAAAGTCGCCACTGGGGTCGGAAAGTCGGTTGCGCATTCTTTTCTAGAGGGGTAGTGTGGTTTACACCTCTATCCGGTGGTAATCCTGTGATCGGTGCGAAAACTTTCGGAAATTGATTATAATGTTTTCACAAGGGATTCATTCCCAGCGATGTGGGGTGTAACATCCACAGCAGTAAGCGTTGGTGTGTGTGTGTGGTTGTTACATTGATGTGGTGTGTGATTGAGCAGGGATGCGGTTTGCTTCACGACGATAAGCAACGATCGACAGCCAACCTCGTTTAAATCTCAAAAAACTCTTTTCAGCGAGACAATGTCTCAGGTCTTTCCTCAAGAAGCATGACTATTGGTACATCGGAGACCATTACGGGAGATCATAACTAACCGAGAGTCCCGTGGGTCGTCTTAATCTCAAGGACCCTTCCGCTGGTCTTATTTCTGCGTTCAGAAAATCCTGACTTTAAAAGGACATCAGCGACGTGGTTAACGTCGGTAATACGAGGAAACGGACTTCGGCTCTAAATCTTCAGATGCGAATACGAGTTTTGCATTCACCAACGACGAACGCGTACGATGCATTAGCAAGTCGTACTGGCGCGCATGGCGAAGGTTCCAAGGCTAATCCAAGACGGTCTGCCAAAGCCTTAGCGGTGAAACAGTGCGTTGCGCCTCAGTCGGGAAGTATGCGTACTGAAATCTCACTGAGTCTTCCTGAATACAGGTCTAATTACGCATCTTTATCTGTCAAGCAGCAACTTGGATTCAATTGCCGTTCTGCAGAAGGAGGGTCATACCATAGTTGCAAAGGTTTTGTCAACGAAGGAGGTTCTTGACATCCTGTATAGGGAGCTGTGTACAGTTGAGTGCCTTTCGGAAAAGTCCGAATCAAATTACGCCTCCTTGCGAACCTCCCCGGGCTTCTCGGGCACTAAAGTGCAAGCTGCCATACTAGGATCATATTCTTTGCAACGTCGGTAGTGTCTTAGGTAAGCGTGAAGCTCTTTAACTGACAGACTAAGCCATAAGGTGTGGCCGGAGCAATCAAGCTACAGAAAGTGACGTGATTCTGATCCAAAGGATTTACAGACGGCGGTGTTGCAATCGTCACTTGCACAAGCGTCAAACGTAATCGTACGTCCAATTCGGGCTTCGATCGTCGCAAAGATTGTCGGATCAATTCGCATTCGCGGACACGCATCACATACACCGCGCGTGCGTAATAACCAAAGTTCTCACATCTCACGGGCAATCCTGCGAATGTTCTAAGGTCTCAATGCGCGCTCAGTCTGCACACACACCGACGCCAAAGCAGGATTCGGATGCGTGAATGGTTCTGGGGGTTCTACGCGGGGTTCAATTATCAGATCGTTGTCATCTTGACAAATCCCAGCCTGCTGGCCACTCGGCAGCTGGGCAGCACGTCAGAGCATTTGTCCGCAATATGGCCCTGGTGACCGCACCTGGTGCAAAGGCTATATCGTTACCCGTGCTTGTATTGGCGCCCTACTTAACGGTGCTATTCAACCGCATATACGGAGCTGAATACCCGAGGGAATTCATGACTAGCACCCTGTCCCCCGTATTCAAAAAAGGGGACGTGTCTTGCTGTGACAATTACCGGGGAATCGCAGTTGGGGGTCCCCTGAGCAAACTTTATGCCAATATCATAGGGAGGCGATTAAATAATTACTGTGAGGCAGGGCTCGACACCCCGTACGGGGCCCGTAAGTTTTTGGCCTTTTTTCGGTATCCCCGTCAGGGCCCGTAGGACTTTTCGGTGGCTCCCGTAAGGGCCGGCCCCGGACCGGCCGAAGGCCGGTTACGGTGGCTCCCGTAAGGATTTTAAGGATTTATAAGAGGCCGTACGGGGCCCTGTAGGGGAGAGGACGGACCATATAAAGGATGGAAAGCCTGCAAGCCAACCTGTTCCCACAAAGAAAGTAGATGATAAGCCTTTTTGACGTTAGCAAAATTAATTTGAATCCATACGGAGAGGATGATAATGAGGAGGTTGCGACTGACCCAGAGATTGAATTACTGGTACAAGCAACATACCCCGCTAGTGACGATGAGGCTTTTAGTGACAGTGACTACGAGACCGACGTAGAACGAGATACCGATGAGTCGTGCGTGGATGAAGATTTTGATGATGATGAGGAGGAGGAGGACGAGAAAATGGAGCAGAAGGGATGGGCGGCCAAGGCGGCCAAGGCGCTTGGCTTTCGCTGAGTGTGCCGTGTCCCCGAGTGTAATGGTTCACGAGAAAATAACGAAAATAACGATTTACAGGGCAAAAAAAATGCAAAGCGTCACTTTCCACAGCGTTTCAGCCAAGGACAGTGCCCCCGTAAAGGTTTTGCGGGGGTTACGGGGGCCCCCGTAAGGTTTTCGGCCGGTACAGGAGCCTGGTACGGGGGCCCCTCCGTAAGGAAAATTTGGGAGGTACGGGGGAGCCCGCAAGTTTCAGGAAGTTAAGTGTCGAACCCTGCTGTGAGGGCAATAGGCTACGTGCAGTTAGCCAGGCTGGATGTAGGCATGGTTTTGGCACCGAGCATCACTTGTTTACATTAAGGCATCTTATCTCGAAGCACACTGTGGCCGGAGCCAGGTCGCTTATTATCATGCAGATTGACTTTAGTAAGGCGTTCGACTCCGTTGACCATGAGACACTTTGGGATTTCCTAATGTCGTATGGGCTACACGGGCGCATCCTCGATTCTTTAAAGGCTAGCTATGCTGACGTGAAGTTTCGGGTCAAGTTAGGAAATAAGTTGGGACCTGAATTCAAGGTGGGGCGTGGTGTTAAGCAAGGGTGTCCCCTTAGCGTAACCCTTTTTGGTCTCTTCATAGAAGTATTCGCTCATTATATTGATGCCCATGATGCTAATTGCCGTGTATGCCTCCCCAGCCGATGGAGCACCCTTCGTGAGCAGAGTGTTAGCCTGGCGGGCGGTGATCTCACTAACCTACTTTTCGTTGACGATGTGTCACTGGTAGCGACAGGGCACGATAGAGCTGAATGCCTTCTGGGGCTACTCGAAGCCTACTGCAATGCGACGGGTATGGCTGCGAATGCCGCCAAGTGCGAGGTCCTCATTTTTGGGGGTGCTACGCGTGAGCGGAAGCGGCTTGTTGAAGCTGAGTACCGGTTAGGTGGGGCGGGGTTGCGGGTGCTGACCGGCAACGAGATGGCACGGTATCTCGGGTTGCACTATGGCCCAGGAGTGCAGTTCTCAGCATGTACCAAGCAACTACTCACAGCAGGGAGGCGGGCCACATTTGGGCTCAGCACCCTGTGTCGTGATAAGAAAATTACCACCCCCAAGCTATGTATGTCTCTCTACAATACACTAGTTGTACCGGTGTTTTCTTATGGAGCGCAAGTTTGGGGACCTGACTTCATTAATGTGAATTTTGAAGGTGCTATGGCTAATCCCATGGTCCAGGAACAACGTGCTTATATGCGAACCGTAGTTGGGGCGAGGAGCCCGACTATGGTTTCCCTATATCGCGAGCTGTCACAGAGGCCACTCAAGTTCCATTGGACCAATCTTGTACTTAGGTTTTGGAACTCTGTGGTTAAGAGGCCGGGAACGTTGTGTCACCGGGCATTTGTCGCTGACCTGGAGTTGGCACTTGGGGGCGCCACTGAGTGTTGGGCAAGCAAGGTACTAGCCTTTCTTACTAGCTTAGGAGTGGAACCCCCCACTAATACGCGCGGTAATGATCTTATATCGTACTACACCACCCTTAAATTGCCAGTCGAGAGCATTCTTAAGGTTTTTGCCAAGCGGCTTGATGCTCGGTGGGAGTGCCCGAATACCTTGGGTGACCCCCGCGTCTTCCCCATAGGAATTACCGGAGCCAAGGCGTGTCGCTATATGAACTGGATGGGAGCTGCCCCGTCAAGGGTTGCGCGTCTTGATTGGTTGGAGCACACTAAAGGGACCATACCCCAGCGACTTCATCATGTGCTCATGCGTTTTCGGTTAGGCTGTTGGGAGTTAGAGGTTAATAGGCCTAATGGGCGTGAGCGCACCGCGCGTACCTGCAGGCTTTGTGACTGTGGAGCGGTTGAAGATGAGTTGCATGTTTTCGAAGAATGTCCCGCTTACAAGAGCATACGGGCTAAGTATGATGGTGACCTAGTCCTTACGGGGCGCAGCATGCGCACCACTATGACTGAGGCGCCACCCCTGGCATTGGCCAGGTACCTCTCGGAAATCTGGGAGGCCAGGCACGTCGCGCAGAGGCGCTTCGCCCTGAAGCGGACGAGGGAGAATGAAGATGACCTCCCGTGTACCCGCATCAATACCAATACAACGTCCATGGCCCCCCCGGCTTTTACGGACACACCCGCACTTGTGTGCGGAACTTGTAACTTGTTACAAAATGGCCCATTCAGCCGCCGTTGGATCGTTTTGGCGTTTCTTGGCGGAGTTCTTAACGGCACGAGTAGGTACCGGGGGTGTCGGTTGCACCACCCGTGGCGGTTGTTGCGGCGGCGGCGCGGAAGTTCGATGGTCCGGCCCCGCCATCAATTTTATTTCCACGGTTCGGGGGCGGCGGCGGTCCAGCGTTGGAAGGTCCGGCGCCGTCATTCACCTGCGGATTTGATCGCGACTTCTTCGTGACCTCTACCCAGGCGTTCTCACCCTAGGTTCGTTTCTGGTTCTGTTTCGGGCGAGGGGTATGATCGGCATAGGTGTAATCCAGTGACGGTCTCTTTGAAGGACACACTTATAAACTCCAAGATATTCATAGACTGTTCCTAGATCAGTCTTAATTAAGTCTCGTCTTTGCGATTTAGCTCTGTAACGCTCTAACGCCCTACAACAGGTAGACTGCGGCTATGAAGCAAGCTCCAAGAGGAAGATTTTGATGGCAACGCGGCTTATTGCGCTACAGGCCGTGCAGTTGAACACCATGGGGAGAACACCACCCACCTCCCAGAGGGTTGCAAAAAGGGTCTAATCCCCCAATCCTGGGGGGTGGTAGTGGTCAGCCATCCTCCCATCCTGGCTGGGGTGACCGACTCCCATCCCCCATCTTAAGGGCCGGTGCTAATCCCATCCCTCGAGACAGGTTTCCCTTCCTGCCAGCCAGAGTCCCATCCCCAATCCCTTCGGCCAGGGTTTCCAATCCCATCCTGCAGCTGTGTCCCCCCAATCCTCATCCTGCCAGCCAGGCTCCCTTCCCCATCCCTTCGACCAGGGCCATCCCCATCCTGCAGCTGTGTTCACAACCAAAAGCTGTCAGCCAGGGTCCCATCCCCATCCCTTGCCAGCTACAAACCTACTCCTTACTTATGTCCTATAGCCTTCATGGTTTGCTGAGAATTTCGAATTTACTATTTCAGCTGACAGCTCCATAGTTCCGGCATTCTGCCTACACTATTGGAGCTCATTATTGTTGCTCTCACTTATTTCAAGACCTTACCGACTACTTTCAAGCCTCATCGACGCTCTGCCACAACGAATCGACATCGCCGCGGACCGTTACTCTCCAAGGAAAGAACCAGGAGCTCCAGCTCAAACAAACAATGACGGGTAAGAAGACAAGGCAACGGGAGATAATCTGGTCAATACAGGAGCCGCCGAAGCAGCCGGCGAAGGGGGATCGGGCCAAATGTTGCCAGCCACCCAAAACGACCTAAAAGCCGCCAGGGAGATTTTAAACGGGAACATAGAACAGGCCACTCTGCACCAGCTGTTGCTGGGCGTCCTGTCAGCCGCGCAGGCCAACGCCCCAAAAGCGCCAGCCAGGGATCCCCGGACAGCACCGCCTCGGGACCGCTCTCCAGAAGTAGTCATCACAAAAGACGTCACCATCCTGCCAT